TGAAGGACGGGAAGAAGAAGGTGGGGTCCCGGGGCTCCCCGACCCCGGCCCCGGCCGTGTCCACGGTCACCCTGCTGCCCGCCGCCGAGCTGGAGCACAGCTGCGAGGAGCTGGTCACTACAGGCACGCCCGCGGACTCCCAGGAGGACCCAGGTGAGGGGCGGGCCGAGGTCACCTGCTGTCGCCGCCCCTGTGGGCGTTTTGTCTAGTGGTAGAGGCGTTGCCCCGCCTGAGGGCTTCCCGAGAGCTGCCAGAAAGCTGCTCACCGACGCGGCCTTGCCCGTGCAAACTACGCTTCCCATAAGCCCACTCACCCGGCGACTTCCTGCAGGGCTCCTGCGTCGCGATTCGCTGAGCTGCCCGTCAAGTCGAGAGGTTCCGCCCCTGTGGGCATTTGTTTAGTCAAAGATGCGTGACCCGGTGTAATGGCTTCCTGAGAGCCGGCAGCAACTTCCAGTATACACTGCCTGGCAGGGCACAGGGGTGGACACAGTTACAGACAACTGGCTCATGTAGCTCACAGACGCAGCCTCGCATGTGCAAACTACACTTCCCATAAGCCCACTCACCAGGCGACTTCCTGCAGGGCTTCTTTGTCGCGATTTGCTGAGCTGCCGGTCAGTCGGGACGTCACTCTGGTCCTGCCCAGCCCCTGCCGGTCTTGCCAGCAGGAATAGAGTGTCAAGAGTTGGAGCAAAGCAAGAGGCACGAGGCAGGGTACACCCAGGACAGGACGCAAGTCCATCACGGGACAGACAGACGCAGGCACACACACCAGGGCCAGTTTTCCCAAAGGACAATTAACGTCCCAGCCTGTCTGGGGAGGACTGTGGGAAGAAACAAGAACACAGGGAGAACATGCAAACTCCACACAGACAGCACCCCAGTTCTGGAATTACACCCAGAGCCCCAGGAACTGCGAGGCGACAATGTTGCCCACTGTGCCACCCTGCTGCCCACCTCCCCCTCCCTCCCCAGCCCCAAGCTGCTGCTTTTTTTTCCCTGTTTTTCATTCTGTCTCTGTCTCCCCCCCTCCAAACAGAGGCGCCCCTTGACCCGGAGCGCGAGACGCCCAGCCCCATCGACCCCGACAGCATCGAGGTGGAGGTGAACTTCCAGCCCGACCCCACTGACCTGGTGCTGTCCAGCGTGCCAGGCGGGGAGCTGTTCAACCCGCGGAAGCACCGCTTCTCCGAGGAGGAGCTGAAGCCCCAGCCCATGATCAAGAAGGCCAGGAAGGTGTTCGTCCCCGAGGAGCAGAAGGTGAGGTGGCCGGGTCGGGTCGGGCCGAGCCCTCACGCCCGTGGAGTACGGAGTACGCGGGAGGCGCGTCTTTGCACAGAGGGTGGCGGGAGTGGGGCACAAGCAGCCCAGCCATGTGGCCTCCCTCTGGGGCAACGGCTGGATCCCGGGATCGAGGAATGGGTGGGGTTGGGGGGGAAAAGGTGGATTTAATGGGCCCCTCTGACGTTCCTGGTGCAGAAGTGGGGCCCTGCGGCTCCCGGTGTCCCTGGCTGCGGACTGAAGAGACTCAGTCCCCTCCCTCCCTCCCTCTCCCCCCCAGGACGAGAAGTACTGGTCGCGGCGCCGGAAGAACAACGTGGCGGCCAAGCGGTCCCGCGACGCGCGGCGCCTGAAGGAGAACCAGATCACGGTGCGCGCTGCCTTCCTGGAGAAGGAGAACGCGGCGCTGCGCGCGGAGGTGGCCGAGCTGCGCAAGGACTGCAGCCGCTGCAGGAGCGTCGTGGCCCGGTACCAGGCCAAGTACGGCCCCCTGTAAGGACCCGCACACCGCCGCGGGGGAGGGACTGGAGCAGCGCACGCGCGCGGCGAGAGACTGATAACGCCAAACACACACACACACGCGCGAGCGCACGGGGAGAGAGAGGGTGTCCAAACTTGCCAAGGGAGAGCGAGAGAGACGCGCGTAGACGCAGAGCTCTGCCCGGGGCCTGCGGGTCGCGTCAGGCCCGGGGTTCGGACAGGGCGAGCTCTGCGCCCCTCTGACCCCACTGACCCCTCTGACCCTGTCTCTCTGCTCTGTTGAAGCCTCCTGCTGGACGCGGACGCGGACGCGGACATGGAGGATCTGTAAAGGTTTATTGATTTATTGATTTATTTTCAGTGGGTGAAATAAATAAATAAATGAATAAATGAACGGACCACGGGGGGGGAACCACGCGCCTGGACAGACTCTGGGAGGAAGATGGAGGGAACAAGGAGAGAAAGAGAAGAGACTGATTTTGTTGTTTTTCGCCGTGATGACGGCGCTGCAGGAACTTGTAAATACCCTCTCGGCCTCTGGCCCTGTGTCTTCGCACCCCACGGAGAGAGAGAGCCCCCGTGTGTACAGAGCCTCGTCTTCTCCAGGGGATCGCCCCCGTGTGTGTGTGGGGCTGTGTAAATACCCAGGTCTTCTCGAGCTGTACGCTGGCTCCTCTCTCAGGAGGCTCAGTGTGTGGCTGTGTGTGTCAGTACCCACCTGGACGCCCGACCCCTCAGGTCCTGCTGAGTTGTGCTTTTCCTAAGGTGGGGTTAAAAGAGCAGGTCCTTACCCGAGAGCAGCGGTCGTCTCGTGTTCCTGAAGACGTGCTTTGTCGGGATCTTCGCATCGTTTCTCTGCATCGTTTCAGAGTCGGGGGGGGCGGGGGGACCCTCGCACCCCTCCTGCCCGTCGGCTCCTCGCTCCGACGCGCACAGACCCTGAATGAGGAGCCTGCAGTCATGGCCAGCTCGTTAAGGGCTGTCGGGACCGGACGCTGGCGCGGCGCTGATCCGCACAGCGCGACTGGGGCTCTCCCAGAACCAGAACCAGGCCCCTCGGGGGGGGGTTCTGCTCGCTGTGGAGATGGCAGTCCGAGCCCGGGTTCCGGCTAGGAGGTGTGTAGGAGTCGTCAGCCCGATTCCTCGGCCGTCTTGGGCGCGCGGGGAGATGAAGGCCTGTGGGGGACCCTGTCCTCTCTCGCTCGCCCACACCTCTGCGGTGTTTCCTGAGGCGGCCCCGTCAGGGAACCCACAGTGGGGTCACGGTCAACCGGGGTGTTGGAGGCACAC